ACTGAAGATAGAAATGCTGCAACCTTGCCTAGGAACATAAATAGGTTCTCATCCGCATTCCATATTGATCATCGACCGTGTTTTCTTTTACTGGGTACATTTGGCATACTTGTTCGTCGACAGTTAAATCAAAGCGCTCCGGTCATATTCACCAAACACGGCCCTGGGCGGGGAAGATCTGTTCAATCACTAGTTAAAAGTATCTTACTGCCTCTTTCACCATTCCTTTTACTTCTGTTTACTCGCACTCATTTCAACGTAGCTATCAATCAGATCATCCGTAGTCCGAAAATAGCGGTATCGTGACGCACTGTACGATCAGTCGGTCCTTAATGTAGTATGCTTGAGCAGATAGATAATTTTTCTTTGTTGGTAAAGTACCCGTTTTATCCGCGTCGCGGCTACACGCTAAGAGCGAATGGGTATCCAGATAAATTCATCCTCAAACATTTGAAGAAACGCAAGATAAATCCACCGAGGACGAACGCACCCAAGAAAGAACTAATTGTGCATATTCCTTTCGAAGGCGACAGTGCGGCTGATACCCTGTCCAAACGCCTGAAAGACGCTGTTGTAAAGACCTATTTCGCGTCTCGCCTGCGCATGGTATCGTACAACAAGTCTTTATTCGCAAAACCTTTGAAATCCGGGTGGCCTCCTGTGACTCGATCAATAATTATTTATCTTTACTCGTGCTCCAGTGGTGTACAATATGTGGGTCGTACCACGAGGCGCCTATCTCATAGGATCCGCGAACACATCCCAAAGTGGTTTTACGAAGCCGAAGCGAGGTCCAGTCACAGTTCCATCTTGTCTCACCTTCTAGCGTGCAGTCACGCAGGGACGGAAAATGGGTTTAGAATCATCTATACCGTTCCTGAACGTTTCACGTGCGGATTCCGAAAGCATCTTCTGTCAATTGCGGAAGCTATCTACATCCGCCACCTCAAGCCAGAATTGTGCGTACAAAAACAGTTTGTACGTCCTTTACTTCTATCGTGGCCTACAACTTCGGCTGTGATTTCCCGTGTACATACTTGTGACTTTCAATGACCACGTGATTTCTTGATTTGTTCCTGTTAAATTAAACATTCTGTTCAATGAGCAGCCCAATCCGGCCTATTTAGCACTTTTTCGTCATCATGTAATTTTTGAGTCTGATGAGAATTACCGAAAAGAATTCTTTACTCAGATTCTGCCTCCCCTGATTCATTCTAATAAATGGGAATTTTTGGATTGATGTGGATCAGTATTCCCCGTGATTCAGTCAAGCTTTTGGATGAGTATTAAATGCCCAGTTATCATACAATTCGTAAGTGCAACTCCCGTACACTTACATATTCACTGCTATGGAGTAGATTGTCCCGAGCCATCAGAAGTTCAGCTTTCCTTTGGACATTTACCAAACAGCTAAGCAACTACTTGACTCTACATAACATCACAGAATTGACTGGAGGGTCAAGTTGAAATACAAATTGTGTGAAAAGATTACAACGCGCAACCTTAAAGTGGATTCCCACTGAAGTGAACCTTGGCCATTGCGATCACTAAGACGGTAGCTGCTGAAGCAGAAGTGAATTGGGTGTTTCCCGTCCGAAAAGACTTTTTGCATGACGCTTTGCGACGTCGTTTCATCTCATCCCATAGAGATAGCATGCATCGAATCCGGGACCATTAGAATGTTAATTATGACCGCTACCCCTAAGCCACTGAGTCAGGATGGGCAACGTTTCGCAGCACTCAATTTCCTACCGCATTAACTAACTGTTTTAGCTTGATTGCACGGACGAGTGTGTATATGAATACGGGTCGGATATCATCCGACCATCCATTTTTCGTCCCCATCTGTCGACTGTTTTTTGGTTTTGTTCAGTCTTTCACCTGTAATGCATAAATCTACCTCTTCAAAGATTTCATTTTCAGAATGGTGAAAGCACTGGACTCGTTTCTCTTGCAAATGGTCAGTTCGATTTAGCGTTGCAACATCATTATTCCTTCCAGTGTGACAAAATTAGGATTTCTTTTTTCCACTCTTTTCTGTTATACACATGCCAGAATGACATGAAGTCTGCTATTTATATCATCCTCATTTGGCGCTACGTCGCCGCTATGCACTTTACGGTGCATCACGCAATGTGCCTGAAGCAACCAATCGACTCCTCCAATGAAGCATGTATCGTGTCATCACGAATTACATAATAACTTTATTATGCTTCATTTTATGTTACTCTTCTTTCATCGTGGCTACGACTTGGCCTGTCTCCTGAGATGACGCAGTGAAGCTTCTAAGATTATCAGTGTACCCACGCAAAGCGAACTGCCTGCAAACTCACTTTCTTTAGAAAAAGGGCTATACTCAGGAGAGTTAAATGGGTCGAATGGCCGAAGTAGCCAACACAATTGCACATAAAATGCCCAAAAAAGGTTGAACCGGTAATGATCTGTGTGGATTTAAGTCACACCAGAACACGGCCAGATTTGGCAAAGTGTCTATTTTAATCGCATATAAAAATGGTCTGAGAGATGAATAAAAATGGGGGTGGTACGCATGCGTTTACTCCACACCGACACCTTGCCAAATAGGAGCGGAATTGTTGGTGAAACCCTAAGTGGAAATGCCACGCATGGAAGCATATCTCCAGGCTAGAGTTCTACGAATGACCGCATTACTTTAATTGAGCCTTCGACTGTTTCCTTTTTACTTTAAAATTTGCCACAGTCTTTGCACTATTTCAATGCATTTGTTCCATTCTGTGGTTGTGCTAGTGTAACATGATAGTTGAATCTAGATTATGCCGGAAAGAACATGTCACGTAAAGCTGAGTATATACATTTATTGTTATTATTAGTAGTAGTAGTAGCATTACCATTACCAACAGGGCCTGAGGACAGGACAACCATTTTGTTTGTTCCCATTTTGTTAGCTATGCTGTTTGTGGTCATGTTACCACATCAGATAGTCTGAGTGAGTCTAGATGTGACGAATTTCTACCTATACCATTCAACTCACCCTACTGCTCCTCTGTAATCAGTACGCAGACCAAACTGCTTATAATGCCATGTTAATTGGCGGCTTAACTTTGGTAACCTCGACGCTTAGTGACGGGGGCTACCCTGTTCTCTGCACGGCAGTAACGTGTAAGTCAGTGGATAGTAAGCGGCGCTATATCACATCTAGTAACTAATTCACCATGGTCATTTCCGTCTCCCATAGCTCAGTGGTCTCAACCACGGATTGGCAACAGTCGACTTGCGGGTTCGAGCCCTACCAGGGTCCGATGGAATGCGCACTGCTGACGATGCCTGAAAGGATGAAACGCGTGTACAATGCTTTTCCGGGCGTGTGACGGCTGTCTGAATGAGTCTAGATGTGACGAATTTCCACCTAGACAAATTCAACTCCCCCTACTGGTCCTCTGCAGTCAGTATGCATACCAAACTGTCTATAATGTTATAAGTTAATTGGCGAAAAACCGGGAACTCCCATTCTCACCTACTTCGCTAATTAAACTGACGACACTGCCTTAAGAACCTACTTTCTCAAACAATGTCGTTCTTACGTCAAAAGTACTCCATGCTTTCATCAGTATATCAATAGCCTTCTGCTACGAGTAGACCTTTCAGTCCACGGCCCGTAAATTCTAAACCCAGCCGTGAGCTTACCCACATTATTCTGGCTTTTAGGAAAACGTTACGTAATCTTACTTCAAATTCTATACTACAGTTTTCTGCCGCCACCCTGCATATATATATCTTATTTTTTATATACATATTTCATGCAACGTAATGTGAGTTGGTCTAGTTCTATCCTTATACCCTTAATGCATCTCAGCTCACCAGGTTTATTGAGTGCAATAATGTTGCTTCTTCGTCAAACTACCCTACTACTAAGGACAATAATACTGATACTAACAGAGAGTTGATTGATGAGGTGCAACTCTCTCTGACCATAGGCGAGCGTCTTTAAACAGTGCAGACTTAAAAACCGGAATCCAAGACCAATCCATGCGCAATCTTCCATAAATGTCAACAACGGAAGTTGACGGAGAATGACTCGCTCTTTTCATGATTGGAGTGCGAGGTAAACTTGTATCAAAACAGGTTATCGTAGAAGATTTACTTTGCATCGCACAGCAAAATCCGGTCGAGAAACGGGTCTTTTTATATGCAGAACAAGAGTAGATGACGTTTTCTTTGCTCTTCGTTCAATTCGTGCGACACCCACTTATCAAACTCCTTTGCATTCCAGACTAATGTAACTGTTGGATAACCATCAAATGCCATACTGCTAAGTGAGAAGCAAGATCTCGTACAGGTTAACTCGGAGCCGCTTCAACTAAGGATCTTAAATAATCTTTGTTTACTTCCAACGGCCCTTCATAACGCACTTCATCTGCAAGCCTCTCATAAAAATTTTAAAACAATTCGAAACCACCATTATGCAGCACAGTAATTAATGGCTCCAGTGCCAGGCGCATTGTTGATGTCACGAGCTGTTTCCATTACGCTTTGACCTCGTTTAAATTTAAACAATGAGACTGTGCAAGTTTTGCTTGTGTCCATATTGGATTTACTGTTCTACAAAGTCACAAACGCGTTTCTGAGCTAAAGTTTCACTACTGACTGAACGAAACCACGCTTCCATCATAGCGAGTTATTTAGATGTGTTCAAGAATATAGTTGTTAGTGTTGAAACGCTAGAAATTGAAATCACTTTATTGACAGCTTAATGTTAGACCAAAGCATGACTTGTCGGCAACAACTATTTGATGGTTAAATGAAGCAGGTTGGGCAGAAATGTTAAGAACGGAAGTAAAGATTTAATTGCGACTGATTATCCTTCTCCAAATTCTAGGTACGAATGAGACCAATTAAGCGAGTCTGGACTCATTTCTTTCTGACGTCCTGTGTGCACCTCTTTCGTCTACGGTTGACTAAGACATCTCCGCGCTACCGTATCGATGCATCCTACCTCAAACACTGTAGCTCTTGGCCTAATG